CCACAAATGGTGCCACAGAGAAAAGGAGACTAAGCCAACTGATACACAAATAAGACCCATGATACGGTAAGTCATGGGCCAACAAGCACATGTAAAATCTAACCATCTGGCATCATGAATACGTCTTTGTGCTGTCTGACAATCATAGTTTGCAAACCTTTCATCTTTTGCCTTTTGTACTGGTTGATTATAAGTGTTCTCCACCTTCCTTTTTCCTTTTGTTATATTGTGTATAGGTCGCCCAAAACGATGGTTGCAAAGAAGCTTTTTAATCGTTTCCCCTTCCTTGAGAACTGTATAAAATATTCAGGTAATTCTTTGCTCATTGTGTAACTTAGTGAGAAAAAAAAATAATTGTAGCCTTATTGTATATACACTCATCAAAATAAATTGCTACTTTTTAGCTTTAGAACCTTGAAGTCTGAGTTTAAATCTTGTAACTTAAAATTATAAGTTGAAATAGTTGATCTTTGATCACATTATAGTTGTTTTTAAATTAAATAAATACTTTTTGAGCATATTTGAGTGAATGTTCCTAAGACAAAATAAGACAAAGTGTGAATATTTTTATGAGACTTTTTGGACAATTGGACATATACATATATATTTAGAACATTTAGAACTGTAAAAAAAAATATGTTGATATCAATTTCAAGAGCCATTTTTAATAAAACATTATATAACCGAAAAAGGAAATTTATTGACCATATATCTACACATTTAGTGCTTTAGTCATTTCCTCAAACAACTTAAAATTTTAAGGCATCAAGAATGCACATTTTTAAGTTCAAGTGCCTTATCTTTTGTTGCAGTCATGTTTCTAGTCTTGATTTACAATGCTTTTTGAATTAAAGGAAATATGTAAAATGTTTAATTGACTTCCGTTTTGGGTCTTTGATTGATTCTTGTATTTGTTCTCTCTCACGGCTTCATTTATTCTACACAAAAAGAAAACGAAAATTATTTAGGATGTTCTGTGTACTGTGATGTTTTCACTGTTGCTGTATTGTAATTACTAAATAAAGAATTTATTGTAAAGCCATTATATTTGTGTATACAGGTTTATTGTGTTGGTTAAAATTATCTAGATATATCATGCCACACATCACCAGTGAGTTGTGATATAACTACACAGGAGTGTACCAGTTTTACCTTTCATATACAGAAAAAGGACACTTCAAGGGAAATAGTTGAAGACTGTGATTTAAATGCAACAAAAAATAGATGCAGGTTGCATTTGTATCACTGTCTGCAAAAATTGACGTTGATCTGTAAATTGAGAGCATTACCTTTTGGTTCATCTCTCGCTTTACCACAACAGACCTGTGGAGAGTCAGCTTTACAGCGGTTTCTCAAACTCCCGCTTAATTCTCCTCCCACTCATTAACCCTGTCCATGAATATTATGAACAAGACAGTGACAGAGGGGAGCCCAGCTGCCAGAGTCAAACATGCCCTTGGAAAACGTCCAATTCCAATCAGACCCCTGGGCTCAATCCGAGTAACTCAAACGGTAGCTCATACCTCCTGTTCTTAGCTCCTATGCCTTCACCTTTTGCAGGATCAGCAGGGAAAACACTATCCAGGCTAGGATAGGAGCTGCTGCGCTGAATGCAGACAGCCTTCAGCCTTATAAATGTCATTATGTGGTGGACACACACATGAATAACGCTGATCAAATTCGAACAACAGCCTACTGGAAAAGAACCACAAAAAAATTAAAGTTACCTAAGTGTAGCAAACAACTGAACCTCTCTCTTATAAAGCCTCAAACAAATAAAGCTGTGTAAATGATCAGGTATCACATAGAGTAAATAACACAAAATAAGGTGGTACATTGGTGCTAGGTGGCATACTACCTACTGCACCTAGCTCCATGCTGAGTGCCGGTACTATTCAGACAGCAATCATTATGGACAGATTGAGCCCTGCTTTGCTTGTAAAGAGCCTGGATGGCCACTAAGAAAGGGCTTCAGATTAGGGCACCCCGACATACCATGTGGGACATAACTGAATGTTTTCTCCAGGTCCAGAAAGCGCAGTGGACTGGTTTGAAAAACTCTTATGAACCCTTGATTACCTTTGCACAACCTGCAATCAATCTTTATGCATTTTAATAAACCATATGGGTGAGAAGAAATTATATTTTATCTTTTTAATATACTTGTTTTCTTTTGCAAGTATGCAGCTTCTGCCTTTCACCAGCAATGCTGCACATCACTGCACATCACTGAAATAGATATTAAATAATTATGAGGTTGAAAAAAGTTGCAGATGGTCGACACAAAAACAGTATTTAAATTAAGGTACAAATTTCTAAAATTGTATTTAGTAAAAAAAATACAAACAAATCATAATGGCAGCAGCCTTTGGAGGTAAGAACAATATATTGACATTTATTTCAAATACAAAAGATGTTAAAGAAAATTGAAATTTGAGAAAGAATGGACACAAATTCCAGAAAGCGAAGAAAAATAAGCGGTAATAACAAGATTAAAGTTAAAACATATACAGTTATACAACATTAAATATGATGGAAATACATCAACCATGCAAATATGAGTGGTGAATGGATTTGGAAACAGTAGACCATACTGTTTATAGTGAGAAAGTAGTAAGTAGAGACTTTTTTCCCCCCATGTTTTATTGTCATTACACTGTCAAGTACAGCGCAACGAAATTCACTCTTTGCATTTAACCCATCCCTCAGGGACCAGGGGAGCAGTTAAGAGTCTTTGCTCAGAGACTCAGAGTGGCAGTCTGGGCATAGGCGGATCTACTGGGGTGGCATAGGGTGGCAACTGCCACCCTAAATGACAGCCTTGCCACCCCTGCTGCCACCCCAGTTGGCGGTAGGGGTGGCGAGGCTTATAAATTATGGATCATTTGAGAATTACGGCCGCTAATTTCCAATGTCGGACTGCAGTGAATGCAGCACGAGATGACGCGAGAGCGACTGAGACTGATTTGTTTTGAAAACCGAATGGGGCAAAGCGAGGGAGCCAGGGGTGATGGGGAGAGGAGACACGGGATGAAACAGGTAAAAACTGATTAACTATCTATAGAGAAATGAAATCATAATGAAAGCACAATGTTGCTAGCATAGCTGCAATGCTGATTTTGAGATGATAAAAATCAGGTTGCAGAACGTTATTTCTCTAACTATGATGTTAGTTTAGGCCTGACGTCTCAGGCTCATAAAGACATATTTACGGTCAACTATGACAGAAAAGAGACTATATAGTTTGGTTGCACTCAAATCAAAACGCACAAAGGCATTGGATCTAAATAAAGTTGTGAAGCGTTTTGCTGAGCAACATTGAAATCACTGCATTCAGCTGTTATAGTCATGTTAACTTTATGTTATGCTCTCTGGTGAACCTTTACAGAGATCTTACATTTTGTTTTGGCACCTGAGAAAATCTGATATTTCCTTTAATAAAACCAAAAGTGTTAAAAGTTAAAAATGTGATACTGGTGTGAATCCTGCTTAATATGAAGCAGAGTTGTTGTTTCTTTTTTTGTATATATAATATGACACTATCCAGAAATGACCCGTATGAACCTACTCACAAGCAAAATGTATTTTTATGTTGCTTCTTTTCAGATTTGTGGAGATTTTGATGTAACATACAGAACCCGCCTTTTTGTTGATTTGTTGATACAGCAGTATGGAGGACCAAGTCTGCCATATTTAAAAATAAATACAGAAATAAATAAATGCTTAATAAATAAATAAGCATACCAAAAATACACCAAAAATACAAACAACAAATAAATGTAAGTAGAAATTAAATTATACAGCTAGTCATAAAGGTATATAACTCTTTTAATTGGCTTCTTTATTGCTTTGCCTTTTTAAAATTTACCTTATTTATTTTTTTTGTCATTTATTATCTTCAACTTCATTTTTTCATTACTTATATTTTTAAGTATTTATTTATGTGCATGTTATCATATTTTTGTCTGTTTTATTCTTCCTTTGTATATTTTTACCCTAGTTATTTCTTCGCCGCTATTTCTTTCTGCCTGCCCTTTTAACATTTCTGCCTGCCATTATAATATAATTTCTAATTACATTTATTTGTTGGTTGTACTTTTGGTGGCAATTAATTGTATGCTTATTTATTTATTTCTGTATTTATTTTTAAATATGGCAGAGTTGGTCCTCCATATACAGCTCTATCTACAGCATATTTACATGCATGAAATGTCCCTTTCATGTTGCCTTAACTGCTGTATGACAAGTTACTGAGGAACAAATGTGGTAAATGTGTGTTCAGAGTAACCAATACATAGATGTCCAGTACCTTTTTTGGGTGCCTTGACCCTTTTATTTCTACTGTGTAGTTATGCTAACTTTAGTACAGCTCAGTCCATAGATCTCTGATGGGTAACTTTTTCTTTTTTATAGTTTCTTCTCTGACAGTCAATCTCACACATCTGTGACTCAGCGCCTGTGTCTTACCTTAATACCTTTCCTGTGATAATGCCCCTCTAGAAGTAGTGTTATCATTCTTCTATCTCCTATTAAGTGAGATCTCATTGTACGATGTATTTCTAATATGAACTGTTTCACATGAAACACTAGTACTGTACATACTATTCTCACCAAACTGTGATAACTGTGAATAAATTCAGTGTAAACAAATGCCATATGTTGCCACCCCTAAAAAATTCCTGCCCCCCTCTTGCCACCCCATAAATATTTTTCTAGATCCGCCCCTGAGTCTGGGGGAGTGGTTTTGAACTCACAACCTCACGATTCCAAGCTCTATGCCCTAAACACTAGGCCGCCAATTATAAGTTATAAATGTTACATTAATTAAAAAAAACATATATGTAGAGAATGTATTTATTTTTATAAGGAACGGGGTTGTTTGCAAAAATATTGATTGGGTTAGTGAAGGGTGAAGTATTGATACTCCAAAACGGGAGGTGGCGATAATGCATCTTAACGTTTGATGACAGTCGCCAGCAATCCGGAGAAGAAGAAGAAGAAGAAGAAGAAGAAGAAGCAGCAGCAGTTCGTCTCCATTTTTGCTTCAGTTCTTTTAAACAGACGCTGCACAACAGGATTTATGAATAAAACGTTATTAAAAGAGCATCTAAGGTAGGTCTCCTTGAGAAAATATTACTTTTATTAATATTTTAAAGTGTTATCGATGGGACAGCATTTGTTTGAGTACGAGTAAACGCTGGGGAACAAGCTCTTAAACATTAGCTAGCCACTTCAAAGCGTCATCGCATTACTCTTCATTATCTGAGAAAAAGAGATTTTAGATTTAAAATTTTACATGTTACCGTCATCATTTAATGGTTTCTCTGAATCGCCATACGTGCAGTAATTTATCACTTGTCTGCTTTTCCGAATAATAAAGGGCCTTGTTGTGGAAGCTAAAGTTAGCTCGCCCCAATTTTTTGCAGTCACTCCCTCAAGTCATTTCTACCACTGATCTGACAAAATACTGCAACCATCTTCAAAGAATTCACTCCCTACCCCCCCAAAAAAAAGAAAAGGAAAAAAACAACAACAATGTTGCTAACTGACTGGAAGAAACATGTATATGCTCGCTTGTTGAAAAATAAACACTTACATTGTGTGTGTGTGTGTGTGTTTTTTTTTTCTTTACAGGATACGAATATTAACTGTCTGTATTTGTGAATTTTTTTAAATATAGAATAGTTGTAAACATGTGGGATGGACCAGGACCACGGGGAAGACCACCCTTTCGGTAAGGGAACGGCGATTATTCCTAATATTTATAAGAGTTTCACTTTTTTATGTAAACCAATGTTGCTTGATTTATGTTGAAAGTCCAGTTGGATTTGTGATAGTAACTGTTTAGAGCCCTTTAAACTCCTGTATACAGACGAGATATCATATAAATTAGATCTTAAAAGATCATAAGTTGGCAGTATAAGTGTTTTACGGCACAAAATCAGTTGTGAAGAATCCACATTTCCTTCAATTCTCATTTCCTCATATATCATTAAAATAAATCACTCTGTGCTCTTTAGTGTCTGGACACTAAAGAGCACTTATTTGTGTGAAATTTGCTGCACAAAAAGTTGATTATATTAGTTATTTTCAAACTTAATATGAACTCTGTTTTATGATAATTTTATTAAGATTTTACAAAGCAGTTTCTTTCACTTCATTTGTATTAAATGTATCTTCTGAATACTTGGACATTTGGCTTTATATTATTTTTTAGGCTGATACGTGCTGAAGTGACGGGGTTTTTCTTTAAGCTGTTACTGTCTGACATTCTCATCAAATTGCTTCTTAGGACTGATAATCATAGACCAGGGGTGTACCTTAGTCAGAGCTAGGCAAGTGGTGTTGCAGAGAATCATGTATGGTCTGACCATTCTCATGCTTTTTGATAAGATGCAAGTGCCATGAATTAATAGGACCACATCTCTCCATCAGATCACATGCTATATTGTATCTGGTGTGTTCTGACATTTAGTGTGTCTCAGAACAATTTGCTTTCAGAATCACATAACAATTTGTAACAATTGATTGAATTATTCGAAGACCTTGATTACTAAAATTAATTTAGACAAATCTGCCTCAAGGCTTCCTTTATATCACACAAACAGTGCGTTTGGCAGATGGCCATGGTTACTGATAGCATACCCTGCTAATACATGATGGTAAGTGCGGTTTTTAGCAATGTAGAGAGACCACAATGTCCATAAAGAAGCTAGGAGAAAGAGTTGACGTTTTAAAGGAGTAAGTTCAATTAAAACTTTACTGAATGAAAATTGCCGGTGAGGTAGCTGGCATCCACTGACTTTCTATTTCCACAGCTCAGCTCTCAGTGCTACTGCTTGGCCTCCACCTTTGTTTTCAATAGAACATTGTTTTAATTGGTCAGCCTGTGGGATATAACATGGGGATAATGTTTTGTTATGCCTGAATTTAAATGACATACATTACACAAGTGAAACTTGTGGAATTTTTTTTAGTTGAATTTTTTCAGCTTTAAATGCATTTTTTTTTTTTTTTTTTTTATGAAAAAAAAATGAACTGAATTGTTTCCATTTTTCCTGTTTTCTCATTGCTCATTAAATAATGTTAAGAAATTAAGTGCACAATCTGCAGAATGTGCTTTTTCTTTCTGGTCTTGCTTTAAATAACCATTAACAATGATACATTGTGTCAAGATTCCTGTAGTTTTGTATTAAAGCCTGTTCTAAATGCGCGTTTACTTGAAACCAGGCCTTGCATAATCACCTGATCAAATTTATTGCAGTTATTCATATAGATTAACAATAAATGTTTAATTGTTTACAAGCAGCCCTCTCTAAATCCTCTGATAGGTTACTACCAGTAGTCCATGTAACTGACTGCATTGTAAAGAATCTTTTTAATTATTGATGTAGCTTATTTATTATTGTGAAACCCTCCAAAAGACTCAGTCGTAACAGACAAAAACAGGTTTGGGTCATTTTGTCCCTTGTCGCTGTTGTTCGTTTTGATTTTTTTCTTTATTTGACTTGAAATGGTAGCACCTACCTACCACACATTTGGTACCCGGTTAGACAGTGGGCTACCTACTGGGATTTGCTATATTTTTCTCTTATTCAACTGAAGGATAATGTATCTATATGACCTCCAACAAACGTCATCTTTCTACAAGAAGTAGCTTAAGCTTATTTGGTATTGGAATGGGTCTAGGGCTGCAGTTGATAATGTCATTGGAATTTATTGCAATGATGAATCAGGTTCCTGGCGAACACATATGCTCTTCCAACAGCTCCTCTGATGATGAATATAGCCTAAAGCATGGCTTGTAATATGTCATATATGATAAATACACTTTGAAAAACCTTGTTTGTTAAAAGAGACACCATGGCCAGTCATAGATCCAATACGGGGGCTGCAAGTTGTCAAATAAAATAAGACAAGTTGGCATGTAGCGAGTAGCTCACACTTTTCTGGCTTTGCTGTTTTGTTTTGTGTTTTGAATCAGCAATCTAATACATTTCGGTACCTTTCAGCAGCGATCACCGTGGAGAGATGTTTTGGGGTCGAGATCGTCCAATGCCTGATTATAGAGATGGCATAAACATGCATCATATGGGTCCTAGACCTTTTGCTGTTCCACTGATGGACCAGAGAAGGATGGATGCCTTTCCCATGAGATGTCATGATATGGATCCCCGAGATTTCCGAGGAAGAGATCCAAGCAGAGAGTTCTTCATACCTGGAGAGGAGCCAGACTTCCATCCTAGGAGGCATGCAGAAACTTCTCTTAGAGACGAAATCCTTGATCCCCCTGGGTTTCGTGGGCCAGGCAGGGATTTTGGAGGAAGAGATATGCCTCCTTGGGAGCCTAATGACAGATTTTTAGACATGAGGGACAGAGAAATGTTTCATAACATGCCACGCTTTGACAGGCCTAATATTGATGGAAGGAGAGGCTTACCCATGGATCGAATGGTGCAAGATGGTGGATTTAGGGACATGCCTGACAGACACCCAGGAGATATTGGTGATTCTAATCGCTATGAGATGGACTTGCCTCCACATGAAAAGAGACTGGATATCGACAGAAGAGGAGGGCCACCATTCAACCCAAGAGGCAGATTTGAGTCCGATATGGACTTTAGGAATCAACCTGGACCCCCTGTTGACATCAGAGGCAGGGAACGTTCTCCTTTAAGATTTGGACCAGGTGAGTTCTCTCCAGAAGAAAGGGAAAGATCAGACATGCCCCCAGATGTTGTTGGTCGCAGACCACAGTTTAGGGGTCCTGGAGGCACTGCAGGAAGTAGAGATTATCCTGAAACTAGTGGTAGCCCCATTATGGATTATTGGGGTGGTGAGGAGATGACTCTAGCTGAAGAATGGAAAAACCGTCAAAAGAGCAAGAAGCCTTATGCAGGACAAGATTTGGAACCTGCTCCTAGCTTCCCTCTCGCTCTCAGTAGTAATGTGATTGTAATGGATCCAACGCCATTTCATGAAAGGAAAAGGCCAGAAGTGAACCCCTTAACAGGTTGTCAGAGTAGGGAAAGTAAAGAATGGCCTAAAGAAAAGGATGCAAAGTTTATCCAAAATAAAACAAGTTGTGAGTCAAGGCCCCCTTACTTTGAAGATCCAAAGAAACCTTCACATGAGATAAAGGAGCCAAATGATCCTTTTGGAGAGATAAACGACATACCATCTGAACAAATACCATTCAGGAAAAAGCTGCAGGAGGACGATGATTACCAAAGAAAAAGCACAGTAGAGGGAAGAGATCAAGACTACAGAGACATAGATTACAGAACGGCGTCTAGAAGGGTTTATGATTACCATCATGAAGAACTTCCTCCATCAGAGATATTTCTTAAGGGACCTCCTCCAGTTATACCTTCAAAATTCACAGACTCTGGTTCCCAGGTATGTTTTTTCCATCTCTATTTACGATTAGGGCTTTTTGTTTATTACTTATTGTCTTTTTTTTTTTTTATGCCATAACCATTGTCTAAAAGGATCGAGATTACAGGAATGCATCGGTCAAGGAAAAAGTTTCAAATATCGTTTCCATAAGTGGTATTCCAAAGACTGATTCGTTGGATCAGGTAATTCAAAAGAAATGCAGGTTTCAATTAACCATATATGTTTGAGTAGTTGTAGTTGCCAATGATGTGTTTTATTACTCTCTAAGTATTAATCTTTCTTTTTATGGTTTCATTTTCAAGATCCTTGGAGCCTTTGCGGTCCGTGATGGGATGCCGATACAGGGAATTGATATCAGAAATGTTGTGCCAGGTAAGAATGAAAGTTTTTTTTCTCCCGGATTGTTTGGGGCACTCGATCGCTACTATGTCCCTTCGTATTTCGCTGTAAAAGCGTTTGCTTTTTGTTCTTTTTTTTTTTTTTTTTCTTTGTTCCGGTTGCTTTTGTTGGCGGTGTCTGTACGCTTGCTCACTGAAAATACGATTTGGGGGAATTCTGTTTTTCCAACATTTTTATGTTACCTAAGGATGACTCACAATGTTTTGAGTTGCTTAGTGTTTCATCAGAAGATCTGGGATGCTTTATCAAAAAAAAAAAACCCTCTTCAGACGAATCGTCTCGGTAACTTCGTTCATCTTGATTCACTGTAAAAGAAAAATACACGTGGTAGCATAAAACGTCCTTTATATTTGCGCTACAGATTTTGTCTAGATGAGATCAAGCATTTAATCGAGACTATGTCCTGATGGTCATATTTTCATTCTAATTCATGCAAATGGCACTAGACTGACTATGCCGCTCACAATGCGAACATTTACAGCCAAATGTTTGCAATATTTGTACCCAAGGACCTGGCTTGGCCGTAGTCAGTGGCATAATAACCAGGAAAAACAAATGAAAAAAAAGTATGTTGTGTCCAAAAGGTATGTTTTGGGTAAACTCTGAAAATGTACTCGCAATGATCTCGATGTTTTCACGAATGCTTTTTAAAAATCTTTCTATTTCTGAGTTTAACTAACAAAAACCCATCTGTATTTCAAATGCTGTCCCCAGGTTACAGCTACGATATGGCCTTTGTGGAGTTTTTAAACCTCGAGGATGCAGTCCACTTCATGGAGTCCAACAAGGTGGCCCATCCTCGTCACTCTAAGACGGCTGTCTCTCCCATCTGGATTGCAAGGGGTTCAGAGGGCACTCAGTAGCTGGGGGGATTGGGAAGGGGCTTTAAAGAAAATGTTGATCCTAAATCTCCATTATCATACATCCTCGAAATCAAGTTCATGTCATGGTTTTCCTATTATTTACCACTGCTTTCAGGAAAAAATCTTGCCTGTAAGCTTATTGGTTTCCTATCTTTTCAGATTTTAGAACACCAGCTAAAAACGATCTGGTTACTTCACAGAGAATAGTCCCAATTTCATTTACCCCAGGCTTCGACTTACATTTGATAGTTTGAGCACTAAGAAATTGATGTTTAAAGAATATTCTATGCTCTGGACACAATTATGCAGCCATTAGTGAAAAGCTTTCTTCTAGGGACTACCCTAAACGCTAGGGATAACACTTGTCTTAATTGCGCTTTTCCTATTGACGGTTTATCTTTTTAAAAATTATTTTGAAATACCTATGACTGCAACCGTCGCTGCTTGTGAAGTAGTTTAAGTCTCTGGAACCATCTAAATCAGGTATATCGGTATGAACCTTGAGCCAATGCAGAAGTGCATCAGAAGTCACCACGATACGTGCTGTCCAAATAGCGTTCGCAGTAAGGACAGAGGTCTGAAGAAGAAGCAGGATGCCTCCTACTGATGGTTTGATTAGCATAGGAACATCCCAATGTTCTTATCTGCCGCAGTACGGTTGCCCACAATCTCTTGCGTGATAGGACTTAAGGGAACAACCCAGCCTTTCGCTACATTTGTGTAACTTGTGTTTTCTGTAGTACTTTTACTGAAAGGCATTAATCCAAATTTGACTTGCATCGTCCATGTTCATTTCTATCTCGTATTCACATCCGGAAGTCTTTCCAGATTCCATATCGCAACTCGGGGTTCCTTTCCTACCGAGGATAGTTTCCTAACCGCTGACCCTGTGAAAGGTTAAACAATAGGAGCTAAAATTTGCCCAATTGTGAATCAGTATTTGACTTTAATATGGGGGACCTGTGTTCAAATCCCATCTGTGTGAAGAAAAACATCCTGCGTTAAAAATTAGCCAAGTCTGTGATTAGTTGTAATGGCTTGCTTTGGTGACCACTGAGCAGCTGAAATTCCTCATCACCCGTGACCGTAATAAAGTATTCAGACACTGTTGCCGGAGGAAAGAGCGGGTGCATTTCCTTAAGGTAAGCAGTGTTCTCCTTTGGTAAAAAAATTGCGCTTGACGTTTGGCCAGTTGCTTTGCAGTCACATCATGTCGATTAGCAAATTTTTAACCCGAATTTGGAAGCAACAATTGTCTTTTAATAATACCAGTTTTTATAACACCCCGTCCTGCTTTTATGGCAGGAAACTGAAGTGTTGCAACAAGTAAAGCAACAGACTACCTGAATGATGTCACTACTTTGCCGATTCTGTGGTGCAGAAGCGGTTACAAGCGAACAGGGATCCCTGTTGGCCTGTGTGAAAATTTTTATGTAAAGTGAACCCAGGTTCAAGAGAGCTGAATCAAAGGCAACTAAGGGCAAGTTGTGCTATGAATCTTTTTAAAATAATGTAGGTAGTACTGTATCCTTATTTTAGCAGGTATTTTATATTTTGTTGCGCTAGTCGCCCGAAATGCATCGGAGACGTTTTTGAAAGCATGCTTTGATGGTGTTGATCTTGAATCTAGATTTGTTGGCCTCGATGTGTATATATGTTTTAATTCACTTTTTAAGTTATATTTTCCTTGTGTTTTTATTTTAATTAATATTAGTTTTTTGGGTTGTGCCAAATACTTTTGACAGCTGTTGGGTTGCTATGTTTGGCTTACAGTCGACGGGTAAGAACTTGAATGTTTTACTGCAGTATGTGGTTAAAAGGTCTGGTGCAGATGTGTGTTGTTGTGACCTATGATGTTCTGACTTTCCAACTTTCCTGAGCTTTGTCTGTTTTCCTTTTAGGTTGCTTCAGATCGCAATCTGTTGCAGCTTTCTTTGCAGCAAGTTATTCTTTGCCCTTAACTCCTTGGAATTCTTCAGATGTGTCCTATAGAAAAAGTATTAAGTTTGCCTTCTCTAAAAGCTTGAGTATTCTTTTTTTTGCGGGCATGTTAAATGAATTTGCTAATCTGTTTTATATCCTTGTTTGGACTCCTTGCAGTACGGTCAGTGGGTCTCAAGCTTGTATCTGGTTTTAGGTTCAGCAGTTGAGCCAGAATTCCTCGTAGGATTTAGGCATTTTATCTTTTTTTTAATGATACAAGTTTGATGCTTTTGTGATTTTTTTTTTTTTTTTTTTTTTTTTTTTTTTTGCGGTCTACTTTTAAGATACATTTTTTTTTTTTTTGTCTGCTTGGAATTATAATAACCACTGAATTGGCTAACTTCTTAATGATCAAGTTAACTGTCTTTATACTACATAGCTAATCTTTAATCATTTACTCAGTGCTTGAGCTAGACATGGTCTAAACGTTTTATTCAACTTAGTTTAAAAAAAGTCGACAGCAGCATACAAAATCTGCAGAGGAGCAGTGCAAGCTGAGGACTCTGTTTACTCTGGAAAAAAAACATTTATCTACAGAATCTGTTTCAGGAGACATCTAAAGAATGAGACTACAGCTTAATTTTAATCGTAAATTATTCATAGATTTAATAGTCAACAATAAAAAACAGTTTTATATATAGGGGTATAGGGGATATTACCATCAAATATTTCATAAAGGTGCTTGTGTCACTGCTCCTGGGTTACAAGCAAAACCCTCTTTGGTTCCACCTGCTTCCTCTGAAAGCAAACATAGTTCAATGGTCCCAGAGATCCACTTGTATGGGTTGACCCATACAAGTGGGTTGAAGTAGGCGTTCTCGGTTGCATGGGTTATCACACAACTGTGATATTATGGGATGTCACTAATGCAATGCAATGATCCTTACCAGCTTTACTTTTCTTTGTGTAGCCTTTTACAGCCATCACATTCAATTATATTGATTTTCACTGCTTAAAACCAAAAGCCTAGGAAAGCTGGCAATATCATTTTTTTCACATCTTTCGAGCTTTGTCCTCACAGTTTCTGTTATTCTAGCTTTATAGATATGCACAAAGTCGTTGTTTGGATATTTGTCAAGGGTTGTGTTAATCCTATATTCTGGTATAGTAGTGGTATCAACAACATATTCTTTAAAACAATAAGAAATGAGAATAATACATTATCAGTTTAAATAAATGTATTTTGGTGTTGTGTAATTGGACCCCATTTTATATTATTGGAGTATTCATAGCTTCAACTGGTTTTCCTTTATTTGCTTATTTTTAGGTTGGGCCAAAAAACATCAAGGACTTGTTTCAGGAGGTTGTATTTGTCCACTATTGTGATGATTTAAGGAAGGGGAAATGCATAAAAAAAGTGGATCTAATTAGGTTAGTTTATTGTTCTTTTGCTTCTTCACTGGCATTTTTCCACTACTCCATGTAGCTCCACAAGACATTTTCTACTACATTTTCGGATTCAAGAAGTGTTTTTCTTCTTCTACTCGGTGTGCTGCTCTAGCATCTTCTCTTCTTGCTTTTGTTGTGGTGGGACAGGCATGTTTTCGCACTGCAAGCGAATCTCTCCACAGACCAGATAAATTGTACCCTGGACAGCAATTCCCAGATTGATTTTCATTCCGATGTGATCTGCTCCAAAGCTGGACTCTGAAACGGTTCAAAGCAGTCCAAAGGTTTATGGTGGAAGCACTTTTAGACCTGGCACACGACAGGATGCAGAACAAAGAAGAAAGTCTATAATTTGATCAGGACTCAAAGCAAATTGTCCAACCCAATCCACCGTCTGAATTACTAGGGGATCTGTATGACATTCTTTGACCAATCTACTACACCCTTGTGCAGTCATCTTTTGACACAGCATTGTTCACGTGGTTGGAATTGTTTTTGGTTAGACTCAAGCGGCCAAGATGGGTAGTATATGCTTTTCCTTCTACTTGAATGTCCTGCTCTGACATCAAATCCTTTTTACTTGGTTTATGTGTGCTGGAAGCTGGCAGACATTCACATTGTGAGAGAACCACTCCAGGGTTTGGGATAAAACCACTGCAACTGTTGTAACTGTTTTGGGGTACAGGTCTCTGGTCTGTGCTAGGATACAGGATGGGATCATAACTGTGTGAGCTGCTCTAGAAACTGGGTTTTTGCCCAGTAAGAACCTATGGTCTGTAAAAGTGCAGTCAACTAGTTCCTTCTTTGCCGGGTTTGATAAGGCTATAATCGCTTTTTGGACTCATTATACCCCCATTTACACGACCATTTTTAAACTGTGCTAAGAACAGTCCGTACAGAGAGAACTGTTGAGTGTAAATGGAAAACAACTGAACTGGACTGTGTCAGACACAACCGAACTGTGTTAAAGCTAATACTAGTTCAGCAGTAGGGCTCGATACAGTTCTGTTGTGGCTGTTAAAAAAGAGCGCATGAGCAGACCGCGTCATCTCCTATATAAAGTCAGCTGACTTATTTTGCAGGTTTTCCGGCGTGTCTGGCTTTGCAATTCACAGATCTCTTCCCCTGTTTACAACAAAAACGTCTTCTCAGCCTATTAACAATAAATGGCATCAAAAGAATGTGATGCCAACTGGGATGATGCCGAGACCAAGGCTTTCATTGAAATTTGGGAGGAGGACGCTATCCGGGCACGTTTGCTCCTGAATTTTATGGGCGGTACCATTTTTGTTTGTGTGATTCCTTTAGATGCATTTGAAGCTTTAGTATCGTGGAGCGCCGTAGGAGACAAGGAAACGTGTTAGCATGATGTGTAAATGGCCGTGAGAACCAATTGGCACAGATTTGTTTTTAGAGGACTAGTGTAGATGGGGCATATTAGTAACAATCACATTTTACTCAACTTCTATCACCTTTAGTCTGATGACAGTCCCTAACTCTTCTGTTGGTTATTAATGATCAAATCACATTACTTTTTCAGACTGTGGGGCTGCTTTGATAACAATCCCTCCCACATTGTGATGTTGTGGGTTTCCAATTTGAAGACAAACAAAACTTTATAATATAGAGCCAATCTAATTTCAGTAGAAGGCTAATAATAGAAAAGGGACATTAAGTAGTTTCCTTACGCTAACAAATTAATGCCGTAACATTTAAAAGAGCTTATTAATAGAGATGTACAGTTGTTAGAGGCTGTCAGTTTTCCCTTGACATGCCATCATTATTAAGCATTAATAAGCTCACAAAATTAGAATCAATGCATCTTAAATATTGGCAGAGAAATCGCTAGATTAGTGGCTTATATTATTACGGCCAAAAAAAAAAACATAATCTACTTTAGGCTTTTCAGTTTCCTTTTTTTCGGGCTAACTCTGAATACTACGACGGTGTATTAGGGCCACACATGAAGAGAAAAAACATTTTTGCCATGACGAGATTAAACTCGACATGTCGACTTTAAAGTCGACATGTCGACATTAAACTCAACATTTTGAGAATAAAGTTGAAATGTCATGTTGAGCTTAATCTCGACGTGTCGACTTTAAACTCGCCATTTCGAGAATAAAGTTGATATATCGTGGCGACTTTAATCTCGACATTCCAAAGTTTGGAGAAAAGAGCAACCGCGCTCCACAGCTGCAGTCTGCGTTTTAAGAGTGAAGGTAGTCTTTGACGTGCTGCAACTGTATAGGATTCTGTGCATGTATCCTGTGCAGCGGTTGGCTCTCTTGAACTAATTTAAACTTTATTGTCGACACGTCGAGATTAAACTCAACATGACATTTCAACTTTATTCTCGAAATGGCGAGTTTAAAGTCGACAGGGCGAGATTAAACTCAACATGACATTTCAACTTTATTCTCGAAATGTTGAGTTTAATGTCAACATGTCGACTTTAAAGTCGACATGTCGAGTTTAATCTCGTCATGGCAAAAATATTTTTTCTCTTTATGTGTGGCCCTAATACTCCGTCGTAGAATACAGCTTCCACCCTTTAAACGTGATTTTTTTTTTTTACTGTCGTCTGACATGGTATGAATCGTACAATTAGATTGTTGGGGGGATAGTGTAGAACACAAGTCGGCGATGAATAAAATTGTTTTCAACTTCAGACCAAAACGGTAGCTTCTCTGAAGCTGTTCTACTCTGGGAACTAAATTTCTACTGCGCAGCAAGATGGCCTTGCTGAATGCATGGATCTGAGGTCTGCACCATACCAAAAAACGCTGAGCTGTTTTTTTCGGTGCATTTTACGGGCGGACAAAACCTGACATAGTGCATGCTGTATGTCATCTTAGCTGGATCACTAATGTTGTGAAATTCTCACTGTTATCGGCTTTGTTTCCAGGGATGCATAAAGGTTGGCACTAAGACATTTGCCTTGAAGTATGTCCAGCCACATGAGTGTGAAAGAGGTCCTTTTGTGAGTATTATTATAGAGTTAGGTTTTATTATTTTCAAGATGACAGTCATTCATTTAACCATTGAGAAATTGCTGGGGTTTTTTTGTTAAAGGAACCTGATCATAGAGTACCTCAAATGCTGGACACACAGAAACCCCCATCTGATAAGCCTTTAGAAGATCTGAGGTCTAACATCGATGTTAAACATCCTATGGAAGAGCCTCCTCGCATTCACTTCCAGCGTAACACTGACCTGACTCCAGAGGCGTGGCAGCAGCAAGTTGACCAGCAGCTAAAGCTTGAACAAGCGGAACATCTGGGAGATTCTTCAAACACATCTCTTCACATCTCAGAACAACCCAAGTCTGTATTCAAAGACAGCAAAAGTACGTCAACCTGATCCGCTTGTTTCATATTTCTTTTTGTTAAAAAGATGTTCCAGTTTAGTTTTTGTTTTGTTTCCTTTTATGTAGCTATGATAATAAAGAATGTGAAGCCTACCACCACAGTAGAGACCATCTTAAAAGCTTTGGACCCCTTTGCATATCTGGATGAAAGAAATGTCCGTTTGGTGAAAGGAAAGCCCAATGGGGCAAAGTCCCTTTGCTTTGTCGACATGGACTCCCACGAGGTACTGTCAGATGTCATTTCATTAGTTAGGAAGTCAAGCTTACCTTTTTATCACTTTCAGGACAGAACATTGTCTTTCTTTTTTCTTTTTTTGTAGCAAGTGAAACGTCTGGTTGATCTCCTCACCAAACCCAGACCCCTGTATATTGATGGAGTTAGAGTCCATGCGGAAATTGCTATACCTCTTAAAAACCACATGTAAGTCACCTTGATTGAAGTCTTCCATCATCAACCCGCTACTTTAGAAAATAAAGTTTTTCTTTACTTGGATATTTCTTTTTTCCCTGCTGATTTAGTTTAAGAAGAGAATATGATCCATCAAACCCTCCACTTGTTGGGCATCTGCCTGAGGATGCCACAATGGCGGTAAGTTTCTATTTAATGACTAATCAGACATCACTTGTGAGTGCTATATAAAATTTAGGCAGAAAACCTACTCAGTGAATGTTGGAATAATTTAAAATGCATAGTAAGGGCATATTAAAAGTGAGGAGATTCAGCATTCTAAGTGCTGAAAATAATGTTCTTATTTTTCCTCATTACATTACAAACCAGTTTAGACTGTGGTGGCATAGTGTCAGATTTTTGTTTAATCTTTGGATTCTTGAGGGAAAACTGACTAACCAAATCTGGTAGACCTCTGGTGTTGTTTTACAGCCGCCATTCCCACCACCACCACAGTTCTTGCATCCTCTACTGGCTCCTGTTGTTGGCACTCCTCCAACAGAGGTTGCAATGCAGGGTGAGAGCTCTTTCACATTTTTTTTAGATTGTGAGTTTCTACTGAAATACCCTAACTCGTTGTTTTTGCTTGTAGGTGATTTAATGACTCTTTGTGCGAATCCCGCTGCTTCAGCCCCTAGCCATAGTCTGGTATGTTTCATATTATTCAAACCATACGATATGTATATACGAATGTTTACAGAAGGAGCTCCCTGCTAAAGTTGCTTTATTTAAATTATCCAATTTGAAAAGTGAAACAGATTAAGTCATTTCATGAACAAATTAATCCTATGATGTTTCATTAGTTGTTTCTTTGTATTTGTAACATAATGGTTTACAGCAAATCAAAATCCCAAATTCAGTTAATAATTACATTAGTGTCTTGCAAAAAGTCATATGTTTTCTATGCAGGCTTGTTATGTTATGGCCTCAATAATGAGCATGCAGCCAACAATTGTCCAGCTTTCATCCGTGATTAGAATAATTTGCATAATATCGAAGACACTGTACATTAATAACCCTGCATCTAAGTAGATTAATGTAAAGCTGAGTGTAAGGAGAAAGTGAAGCTGCACAAGTAAAAGATGTAACCACCGCCTTGGAAGCATTGTGAGGCAAAATCCTTTCAGCGTTTGGGGAAGACATGGAGTGTGGTTTAAAGAGCACCACGCCGACCAATACGTGCATTAAGTCACTTTTGAATTGTTGAACGTCAGAAGTGTCCTACTTTGGCAAGGTGGAAAATTACATGTACTGTCATTCCGTGGTCCAAAGTCATTGGACTCTCGGGGTCCAAAGGCCTGGAGGAAAAGTAGAAAAACACAGAATCCAATTTTCTTTTGTTTCAGACTGATGTTTTTATTTAATAAATGTATATATGACAGGAAAACATTGACTGAATTGTAGGGGTTTCATTGCTGTAAGCCTCAGGCATCCAACTAAACAAAACCAACCATCTGAAAAAAACACAGTAACAAACCTATAATACATTCAGGGTTCATTTAGTAAATTCTCCTGAACTAGATAAGCTGTCTTATTAAATATTTTTTGACTCTTGGTGTAGTTTTCTGACATTTGAATGCTGAATATTTTCTCAGGGAAGGGACTACAATGTAATGACTACTGCGGCCCCATCAAACCAAACTGGTCAACTTCTTCCTCCTCCAGACTCTGCTGCAATACAGCCCCCCACTGAGGGTGCACAGACATATATTTATGGTGAGGAAAAACATGTTTAGATCCTTTGGAAGATGTTTTATATATTAAAGTATATCCATTATAGGGTATAAATCAGCAACTACATGTTATACAAAAATAACAATGTCGCATGTTTTCCAGGTTCTGAAACTCCAGACATGTCCAGTTACTTGTATGATTCAACGTCGGGCTTCTACTACGATCCTGAGACAACACTGTACTACGATCCAAACTCAAGGGTGAGGCATATATGCAAAATTGCACATATATGCTGTGCATATATGTGCAATTTTGTCTTTGGCGTGTAAAATTAAGATCGGGAGTTTTAGGAGCTAGACTGTCTTATGTTGTCATTAAGGTGGGGGATTCCTAATAAACCTTGCTCTCTCTTTAATGAACCTTTTCAATAAAAATAAAAAAAGTGTTCTGAGTTGATTTAGCCCTGCTGAGCTCTTTGAGTATCATGTAAAAGTAATGTAAAACTTGCATATTAATCCTCAAAGATATGGCCATCATGTAAAACATAAGGAGCTAAAGGAGTTCTTCCTTACATATCCATCCATCCATCCATCCATCCATCCATCCATCCATCCATCCACTGCTTATTCATCACGGTGGGGAAGGTGCATATCTCCAGGTGGCTATGGGCGAAAGGCGGGGTACACCCTGGACAGGTGGCCAGTTTATCGCAGAGACATACAGCCTCTGGGACATACGCAGTTATGGTTTTAGACTGGGAGGAAAATGCAGTACCCAGAGAGAACCCAGGCATACACAGGGAGAATATGAAAACTCCATGCAGAAAGAGCCTAGGCTGAGAGTTGAAGCTTAAACCTTCTTGCTCCAAGTTAGCAGTGCAGCAAACTGTGCCACTTTTAAGATTTAAACAGTACTGTAAGTTTTCACTCTTACCGTTGAAAGTTTCTTAATTTCATTAAAGTTTAGTTGTACAATTAAATATTTATCTTCGCATATATTCCTAATTTTGCTTCCTCATCAACTTTATTTATAAAGGGCTTTAACATGAGCCTCAGCTAAAACACAGTGCTAACCACCAGGAGGAATAAAATAAAAGGACTTAAAACACAATAATAAACTAGAAAACGTGGTATAAAACAGAGTGAACTATCACAAGATACGGCTAACAGCTTGAACAAATTAAGTACAATAAAATCTCAGATTGTTGAAGGACAGCATGTTTTAAAACAAATAAAAAAAATTAACGGTGAAGCGGCCTGTTGAGTGCAATGCTTATATGTTCTAAAACTCCTATCCCTCCTCACATTTTCTGCAGGTTTTGTTCAATTCTAGGATCTTTGTGAGATTTGTATATAATTTTTATTTTTATGTTTCTGAAATCATATTTGCTATTTTTCCCATTTTTCTTGTCTAGTATTTCTATAACGCTCAATCCCAGGAGTATTTGTACTGGGATGGAACAGCAAAAACCTACATCCCAGTTCCAGAAGGAGGTTCCACAGGTTCCCAAACGACACCCACTATGACTGCAGAAGACCAGGCTATTCTTTCCAATCCAGCTGCAGATGCTCCTTTAGAGCTGAAGAAACCTTCAGCACCACCCCAAGCTTCTGCCGCCCCTGTTGCTGGTTCAACAGAGAACTCTGCAGGGTCTGTCCAATCTCTCACAGCCTGTGTCGAAAAGAAGGACGGTGAGGAATCTCCAAAAAAGGATAAAGAAAAGGATGGCAAAGACGATAAACCAAGAAGTATTGCCGCTGTTAAGGTAGCATTCCCTGTAAACAAATCCCAAGTCATGGTGGAGTTTGTGTAGCTAGGTGGTGATGAACAAGTATTTTGTTGCTGCTGTTTGCAGATAATGAAAGATATGGAGCGTTGGGCAAAGATCCAGAATCGTCAGAAAGAAACTGTGCGTGCTCCATCTCCAGTCCTAAAGTCTGGGATTGATGATGAGAAGAAGCAGTCCAAGTCAGCTGATGCTGCATTTGCTATATTCGAGCGGAAGGTTGGCTACTGCTCTTCACCATTCATAATTTGCTATTTGACAAATTTACTTTCAGCTGTTTTTATCCTTTTGTTTCTTTAGATCACAGGAAGTGAAGATCTCTTTAAGAAGCCTGTTGCTCCAGTCAAAAAAGAGGAAAAATCTAAAGTAAGTTGGTCTGTATTGTCATTGTCAGTTTTCTCTTTTCCAAGAACGGGTCACTGGGCAGTCAGTCCCAGCAGAGACTCCCAGACTTCCTTCTCCCTAGACACCTCCTCCTGCTCCTCATGGGGAAGATGAGGTGCTCCAGCTGTGAAGACATAGTTCCTCCAGTGTGTCCAGGTTTGTCCCCTAGGCCTCCTACTAGTGGGATTTACAGGGGTAATCCAAATAAAAAAGGTCAGAGCCACTTCAGCTGACTCCTTTCAATGTGGAAGAGAAGCGACTACTCTGAGCCTCTCCTGGATGACCGAGCTGCTCATCCTTACTCTAAGGGAGCGCGCAGCCACCCTGCAGAGAAAACTCATTGCGATTGCTCCCCGCAACTTCGTTCTTTCGACCATGATCCAGATTTCATGACCATAGGTGAGGGTAGAAATGTAGACCAACTGGTACATCGAGAGCTTTGCCTTTTTGCTCAGCTCTCTTCGCCTCAACAGATCAGAGCAGGGTTGGCATTATAGCAGCAGCTACACTGATCTATTGGTCTTCCGCTCCTTTCTCCTCTCACTCATGAAAAGGATCCTAAGACACATGAACTCTTTAACTTGAGGCAGGAAACTTTCCTCCAACCTGAAGGGGGCAACCCACCTTCTTCTGGTTAAGAACCATGGCCTTGATCTTGGAGGAGCTGATCTTCATCACAGCCGTTTCACACTCTGCTGTGAAGTGTCCCAGTGCATGCTGTAGGTCTTAGCAGTAGGGAGGCAGCAGAACCACATCATCTGCTAAAAGCACAGGCAACGTCCACTGGTCCCCAAACCAAACCCCCAATGGCCCTTGGCTACTCCCAGAAATCCTTTCCATAAAGGACCCCTGCCAAAGTCCAAGGCAACAGGTCCAGCTTAATGCTGGCAATGCTGACCAAACACCTGGTCCACTTGAGACACGGTGGCCCCCAAATCCATACTGCTAGAGCACTCCCTCGGGTCAGTATGGGGTACATGGCCAGATGCCTTCTCCAGGTACACAAAATACATGTGGATCAGTTGGACAAACTCCGGGACAATAATCACACTACTCCTCTTTGACAGTCAGCTGTACTCTCCTCTTCAGCACGCTTGCATAGGCCTTCACCCCCTATAGTTAGAACACCGGTCCAGGGCCCTGTCCCTAAACACCACACAACATTGTAAAGTTGTCAGCCATGATAGCCCAGTAACGGAAAGAGAGCCCCAGCTTATCGAAGACGTACCTCAATGGAGTTTTTTGACCAACTTGTAGACTTAGGCCTGTTGAAGTCAGCATGTTTGGCTATGATCACTGTCTCTGCTTCCATCACAGAAGGTGTCAGGAAATCCTCAAAGTACTCCTTACACCATCCAAAAATATTCTCAGTCAAGGTCGGCAGCTTCCTGCCACATAAAAAATACCGTTAGCGAAGCACTGCTTCCCCCCTCTGGAGGTGTTTGACTGTTTGCCAGAATTGCTTTGAGGCTGACTGATAGTCTTGGTCTCTCCAAAATCGTCTCAAGCCGGGATTCTTGCCTCTCCAGTCGCCCAGGCAGCGGCTTGGTCTAATGTGCAACTTGTTAGCAAGAAATTGCACATCTCTGTGTGAAAAATAAAAAGTGTAAGTTTGTAGCTGTTGCTCCTGGATAAACTTTGCTTTTGTCTTTAGCGTCCAATGGGGTCTTTGGGTCTGCTTGCATCAGACTATGGAGCTGGAAGTGATGAAGAGGTTGAAGAAGACAAGGAGGAGGCAACTAAAAGCACCCAAAAGAGCCAGCCTGAGGAAAAGGACAGGCTGACTGACTGGAAGAAGATGGCCTGTCTGCTGTGCAGGAGACAGTTTCCTAATAAGGATGCTCTGATCCGCCACCAGCAGCTCTCTGATCTACATAAAGTACCAACTCATATTCTATATATGGAAAGATTTGAAGACTAATTACTTCTGTTAAGTTTTTTAACACTTGTCTTATTGTCTAATCAGCAAAACATGGAGATTCATCTCAAGATCAAGAAGTCAAAAAAGGAACTTGAAGCTCTGGAAAACCAGGAAAAACAGGCAAGCAGGCATTAATTAAAGATGGATAATTTTGTTAATGATACATACAAATTATATGTAAAAATACTAGCGAATGAAACTGAAGGTAGTGTTTTGACCTTCACAGCTAAACGTCAAAGAGACTTCCAGATCACCAGAACAGAAAAGACGAAAACAGCATCACCAACAGCCTCAACAACGTAGCAGCTGGGCTGGAAGCTCCAGGTAGGCTAAGGTTTTAACTTATATGAAATATGATGAACAAGTGAAATTTATTTTTGTTTCTGCTCTTTCAAAGAGATGCTTATTTCTTCCTCTTTTTTCTTTTTTTTTTATACAGAGAAACAGGCAAAGTGAGTGAGAGACCTGGTTTAGGGGCTGAACCTGTCCAGGTAAATTTTTTTATCTTTTTGTTAAAGATATTGACTCTTGCAGTAAATGTAAAGTTTAAATATTTTTGTTTTTCTTGCAGAAGAAGAAAAAGGAGCATGTCGTATGGGACCACAGCACTTACAAACAAGCAGTACGCAAAGCCATGTTTGCACGTTTTAAGGAACTCGAGTGATCTCGGTTGTCGGAAAATTATCTCCATTGCCTGAAAATGTGAAACGTAAATGATGTGCTCAGCAAATTCTGCATGAGGAATCGCCTCAACTCTTTGAGATCTTTTCTTTGAGACACCGTGTCTTCAACGCTACAGTTTACACTGATATAAGGAGACAAATGATTTATTGAAGCTGATCTGAACAGTCAAAAAAAAAAGATTACAATTAATTTTGTTTAAAAAATACATGTTCATTTTTGTTCCATGTATATTTGAGAAGCCTTTTTTATTTCGCAATAGCCATAGATACATTTGTTTGTTTTTTAAGCTTTTTTTTATTATTATTTTCAGGGATTTAGATTGCTATTACTTGCTTTTGTTAAGTAAAGTATGAAGTTTAGTCTCTTATGATGTAAATTTGTAAAGTTATCAACTCACCACTAGGTGGCACAATTGTACTACTTTGTTTTTCAATAATTTGTGGTATCCAGCAGGTCATATTGTCTTTAAAAGAAAACTGTTTTCCATCTAATAAAAATACCTCTGAATCAGGTGTATTCATGAGGATTTTGTCTCCTTAATATTTATACATTTATCTGGACAATATCCCACCAGTGATGTTTTACATGTATTTTACTGTACAAAGATTTGTGTTGCTGATTTTATCAGAATAAACCTACTTCAATGACATTTTCAGAAATAAATCGCTCTATTCAAATTCTTTGGTAGAACAGTTTGTGCTGATGCCTATCTGAGTGACTATATGGACACAAAACAGCAGCATTAACTAGAGGAACAGCAGGCACAAAGATGTATGTTGAATTTTGCTGCTACTAAGTAATTCAAGAAGGCTATTTTTCATAGTTTTTTTTTTCTTAGTAATTGACAACACATTTAGTCTCTTACTGGAAGACAAGGCTATGAAACTGCATTTTCTTTAGTTGTAAAGAAAAAATAAAGCATATGGTTTCTTATAGGACTTTTTTAGTAGAAAATTTAATTCACTAACCAGCATATTTATAACAAGCCAAAACCTTGCATCTTTATGAAGGATACATAATTGAACTGGCATGGAAACTTTATTTGTATATCTCATTTTGCTACCACGGCAATTCAAAGTGCTTTACATGAACATAAGTAGGCTTCAACTAGAAGACTGGAGTGGTCTGGGAGGTTTATTCACTGACTATTATCTGTACGTTAAGGTACATTGCAGTGGCAGGTAAAAGGCTTATGTTTTATTAAACAGTTTAAATAGAAATTCTAAGGCAACTTTAAACTACAAACAATTATTGCAACTTAGGGTTTAAGCACTTTTACAGTCCTCCGAAGGGTTTTTTCTAGATATCTGGAGCATAGGAACTAAATGCTGCTATGCTCCATGTTGATTCTGAATAAGCAAAGTAGACTTGAGCCAGAAGACCTGATGTCTGAGTGATTGATGCACTGAAAAGTCTGCTTTTTTTATTCCAGGCCTTTCTTTGATATGTAGACTGACAGATATTTTGTCTGGGGCACAGGGAGGTAGTGGAAGAGATTTGGAACTGTGGTAATGTGCCTTACTTTTTCAGTTTTATTAGGGATACGGACAGCAGCAGCATTCTGAATCAACTGCAGCTGTTTTTTAGGCAGAGATGTGAAGACACTTTTGCAGTAATCATTACTGCTAAAGATAAATGCATAAAATAGTTTGTCAAGATCCTGAAGAGACACTAGTTTATGAATCCTGAAGATGATTTTTAGTTAATAGAAAGCCAACTTATGTATTTAGGTGCTAACTTTTGAACACTGCTTCGTTCTAAATATTTTTGCTTTTTATTTTGAATTAGTTGAAGAAAATGCTGGTACATACATGAATTAATTTCTCATAAAACAAAAACATTATGTAACTGATGTTTGGAATCACAAACTTTGTGAGGAAATAAGTTAGGGAAATTAAATATACACACCAACATGTGACAAATGGATTATATGGTGATATAAACTATAAAAAACAGTAAATGACCTGTTCAGACTAGAGCAGTGAAGCTCATACAACTTGTTTTGATGAGTAAATGAACATAAATTGATTTATTTTAACTGAAGTAAACTGAAACACTTTTTTAAAATTAAAAGTTAACCAGCTCCAAACCACCTACCAGCCTTCAGTTTGTAAAACCTATTCATAAGTAGACAGAACAGAACATGCGAAGGACTTGGATTTCATTTGTCAAAGGTGATGAACACAACTGTGCACCACACCTTTCATAGTGTACCAAAAATAAAGACATGTATATAATGTCTAAAGTTTGAAGTTTACATGTACAACCTTAGTCAATAAGTAATCTTTTCTCAATCAGTGTATCCAAGGTATATTAAAAGCATTGATCATGGATATCATGGAAAGTTTCCCATCTTTCCAACAAAAGTAAATGGACACATGGACAGGTATGTTTTGCGTTTTCTTTGTTTAGTAGGGAGACAATAACATTTAACTGCATCCTGTCTATTTACATTATGACCGAAAGTTGAGCAGAGTTTTCCCAAGAGAAATCATGCAAGCCGTTGTATATAAAGCTTTTTTGTGGTCACTGTTGGTCCGTTTTCCTGGGAGAGACGGATTGCTTGAATGTCTATGTTGATATCAACCATAGATCACATGCAAAGGTTTTGAAATTACTTCCACATTTGCAGCAGTATTCCACTGATTGGTTAAAATCTCTGCATTTGATTTTTTTTATTTTTTATGTCAGTGTAATCGCAGGCATAAATCTTATGAAAGCATTTTTTTCTGCAGCAGGTTTGAACCGCTGCCCGTGTATTTGCTTGTATATAACAGATTTGTACCACTGTTGACAGTAGTTGAAAATGCTAGACTGGCACTATTTGTACTTCTGTGGGGCATGAAGTTCTGCAGTTTAAACACAACTGTCAGCACATAATCCCTTGGTCTTTACCAGGGCTGAGGTTATTCTGCCATCAAAATAGGAGATGCATTGAAAAGAGGGATTTATTAAAATAAAATCACTAAGGAGGGATTATCTGGCGTTGCCTTTTTCCTACTTTAGCAGATGAGGATCGCCAAGCAGGATTTCTTCCAATTTTCAATTACTTCGTTTTTTTTTTGTGTGTGTCTGTGCACCCATTTTCATTTATCTTTTCTCAGCTACGCCAAATGACCTAAAAGAAACAAAAAAATAAAAAAAAGTCTCCTGCTCCTGGTGACTGATGTCATTATCCAGTCCTAATGAGCTGTGGAATTAGAATTAATGTTCAATTAGTCTGGGGAGATGAGAGGGCCAACTAAAAGCAGCAAACTTTAATTTTTCTACTTAATTGTCCCGGCTTGTGGTCCTTTAGCAGCTGGCAGGTGAAGCCTGGCAGAAAGATAGAAGAAGTCATAGGCAGCAGGTGCGGTAAAAAAGATAATTTGAAGTCTTTACCTTGGGTAGTCCAAGCAACAATTTAATGCAAACTGAAGTGAAAGCTAAGCTGAAAAACATACAGTAACTGTCATGAAATGATTAATATCCAGACTTACTGTCACTGTAAGCTTAGATTTTGTTAAGTTTATTTTTTTATCTTAGAAAAATGTTTTGCCTTCCAAAATAACGAAGGAATTTAATTTCATAATAAATATAAAAAGGAAAAAAAGAAGGATACACAGTTAAAATCTAGATCAACGTTTTTTTTAAACTATTGCTGCACATCTTTTTAAGAATTTCAGTACACACCATTGGATCCTGTTTCAAGTCTTTTCCAGCTTTGGAGAAGTTTTCTTTCATGATCAACCTGTTTCAGCTGCCTCCATTTTCTCATCATATGCGACCAGTTTGCTGTGTTTCCTCTGAAGAAAAGCTTCTCCACAACTAAATGTCCCCTCCTAATATCTCACAGTTGTCCTTTCATCTTACAGAGTTACTGTTCTGCCACATGTAGCAGTTTGGCTTCAGCGTAAGGTTTGGTCTTATCAAACAAATCACCTTCTTTCTTATATTTTGTCATCTACGGACTAAGGACATTTTACTTCTTACAACTTGCCATAGAGGTTAGTTTTTACAGTAAATAATCAATTGTTTGAATCAACAGATTATCCATCAGGAGATGTTTACTGCTGCTGCTCCTCCCTCATAATGAGCCTCTTTAGTGCTTCTCCTATTAATGCTCTTCTTGTCCTTTCAGTTTGGGTGGATTATAAACATCCTTTCTATTATAGAATGACAGAGAAAATTATGCTCTCTTGAATGTTCACAGTTTATTGTTGTTGTGATGCTGGTTGTTAAGAAATGTTCTCTACCAGACCTTTGATGCCTTTACAGAACAGCTGTTTTATACTGATTTTAAATTACATGGTGCTGGCAATGAAGGACGTTTAATTGCTCTGGGTTTTATATACAGTAGGGGTATTAAACAGAAGATTACAGATTAAATAGAAACATTTTAAGAATTTTAATTGCAAAGCTTTAGAAATACAATTTTCTTTTCTCTTTAAAAAAAACATAATGTTTGTGGTTGCAGCATGAACGAATGCATACAAAGTTTGATGGGAACGAATGGATTTGTAAGGTTATTCAAATTCATACAATAGAAAAGCTTTAAAACATGGCTACATTAATGCCATTTCAAAGTTTATATTTCAAATGTTTTCTTTGTCCACTATAGCCAGACATGTATCCTGGAGTAAATTGACTATCTTAAGGACTTGCATGTGATTATAGTTTCCTAAAGGAAAGAAAGATCCTGTACTATTACATGCTATGTGCAAAATTCAGCTTGACAAATTTTACTACCTGTTTTTGTCCTTTTAAGTGATAACTAAAAGCCAGTGTGTGTTAATGGTTACTAATCTTTCATATCATCTCTGAAATGTTATCAAGATAACTTTTGACATACATAATAGCCTTGAGCATATATGGGGAGGTTAGAAAACGGCTTGAGCAAGAGTCTGTCTATGAGAGCGACATGGACAAAGATCGTACCACGATGTTGAACTCCAGATTAGACACAAAAATCGGCAGAAGTTTAATTGGAAAATTTACTATTTTTGCTTCAGAAGAAATCCACAGGGGGTTTTATTTAATATGGAGTATTCTGATTAAACTAAAATGAAATCATTTTATGATGAGCCCAATATTCTTGTGGGAAACCAGGGAACATGAAATGGAAATATTTGTGCATCATCTTAGGACAATATCCAGAAAGTTAAAGCTTGCAAAAAAACAGGACTTCCAAATGGACAAAGACCCAAATTATACAGTCAGGTTATTAACACGCGTGTTTAAGGGAAATACAATAAAGGTGTGTCTGTGAATAAGTTGGCTGACAATCCTGACTCAGTTTCATCCGTTTTGTCGGGAAGAATTTAAAAATTACACCTAGCTAATGTCCAACGCTTGTTGAAATATACCAAAAATAATTTGATCAAAGTCATTTAATAAAACTACATAAAATATTTAGAGTTTTTGAAATCTGTTATTAGCTTTAACTTATGAAATATTTTTGTTGTAATTTGTTTGTGTGACAACAAACTCCAATACTCATCATCTTGGCCATTCTTGGTGCAACCCATGATAGATGTGGCTCCATGGTCTGCAAACATCTGAAAGTGAGTAAGTTCAGAGATCTGAAGCGTACAGTGTAAAGAGGAAAGGGAGCAACACAGTCCCCTGAGCGACTCCTGTGCTGCTGAGCACACTCTGAGATGTGATATT